GGCACCTGTAGGGCCTGAGAGCTGAGCGGGGTTGGATGCCCTGACACGCAGCCGCAGTGCGCACCTCGCACCCCGAAGCCTGCCCTCTGCTGGCAGGACCCACACCCAGCGCAGCCCCTGAGCCCAGATCCCAGGGCCCGACCACGTGGTGAGTTCGGTTTATTCAGAAACAAAAGTGAAACACCAGGAACCACTCCCTGGCCTTGCCTCCTTCCTCTGTCCTGGGCGATCTATAAATAAGTTTCCTCGATGTCAACTGATTCATAGAAACCTCCTCTCCCAGGGGCCACCGCAGCCTCCGCTGTGATACAGGGGCCGTCTCAGCCCCATGTACACATGTCCCAGCACAGTATGTACACCGCGGGGCGCCCATGCATCTTCCGCCTGGCCTCCACCAGCCACCCCGGCCCAGCTTCTGGCCAAGCCCAATTTTCCACAGGGTTGGGGGAGTGTGTACCCCCAAATTGCCTGAGTAAGCCATGCATCCCCTCTATGGGGACTTTTTATTAAAGAAGCAGTGAAGGCCACCTCTGTGCAAATCCTGGGTGGCCTCCAAGATAATCAGGCACAGAGGCCCACGGGACTTTTGTAAAGACAGCAAGTGGAGGCCACCCCTTTGTGGACTGTGGTGGCTTCATACCTGCAGGACATTTGAGAGGAGGGAAGGGGAGGCCATCCTTTTGCGGGTTGGGGAGGCCTCATGCCTGCAGGACTTTTGGGAGGGGGCACAGGGGGGAAGCCACCCCTTTGTGCATTGGGTGGCCTCATGCTCATAAGCCACGAGAATTGGGTTGTCCTCATGCCCGCGGGTCTTTTGTGAGGGGCGGGATGGGAGAGGCCACTCCTCTGTGGATTGGGGTGGCCTCATGCCCATGGGCCTTTTGTGAGGGGGGAAGGAGGAGGCCACCACTTTGCACATTGGGGTGGCCTCATGCCCGCGGGCCTTTTGTGAGTGGGGACAGGGGAGGACACCCCTTTGAGGATTGTGGTGCCCTCATGCCCGCAGGACTTTTATGAGGGGGACAGGATAACCTCAAGCCGCAAGACTTGTGTAGTGAGCAGAGCCCCCCCCTTAATAGGTGGGTGCCTACAAAATAATCGGGCACACATTCCCATGGGGACTTTTGCTAGGTAGTAGGAGAGGCCTCCCCTCTGCAGTTAGGGATCACCTCCAAAATAATTGGGTGCAACAAAAAGTAAAAAGAAAAAAATAAAGAAAAATCAAAACAATTATTGAGTCCAACAAAAAATAAAAAAAAAAAATTGGGTGCAAAGGCCCGTGGGGAAATTTCAAAAGGGAGCAGGGGAGGCCACCCCTTTGTGGATCTGTGTGGTCTAACTGCTATCTCTTGGCTACACTCTAGACAGGTGTAGTTGCCCACCTGCCCCAGCTGGTATCTCTGTCTGGACTTAGCCCCCATGCCGGGCCTTCAAAATGCTGCCCCATTCCACATGGTTGGGGTAGTGTGGGGGGGGGCACGTGGCTCCAAATTGCCTGATATAACCTAGGCCCTCTGCAGGAAGGCCTGGTAAGGATTCAATTGGTCATCAAGGAGCCCCTATGTTGTAGAAGGGAGCCCCCTAAATAACTAGTTGGATGTTTCTAGCTCCTTGTCTCTGGAAGTATGATTAGCCCAGAGATTAAGACACAGCCCTGACCTAAGAGGCTAGGGTCTGCACCTGTTTCCCCCTATTAGATAGGGGAGTTGTTGTACCCCTTTTTTAAGCCGAGGCATATAAGGATGACTGGGAAGGAGAGCCAAAGGACAGGGGGGAAAGCTTGGGGAATAGGGATGGGTTGGTGAGGGCCAGGTGGGGGCAGAGCCCCCGGCCCCATGCCGGTGGCCTAGACCACCATTATCTTCACCTTGTTGTCATCAGCCTGGTAGAAGAAGGGAAGGCATGGGCTGTTTCCAATGGTGATGACTTCCTGGGGTTCTGCATTTCTTGAAGCAGCTGAATGATCTGCTGCACAGAGGTGTTCTCGAGGGGAGTCAGGCCCAGCTGGGCCTTGCCCTGGGTTGGCTACACGTCATGGACGAGGCTCACCTCACTCTGTGCTTTAGAGAGACAGAGACAGGATGCTGTGTGCCTGGCGCAGTGTGCTCCTTCTGCCTAGATGCCCGTGCGGGGCTTTCCTCACCTTGGCCGCTGGCAGCGCCAAGCTCCTTGGGGGCTAGGCATGCGCTAGTGGGCTCAGCAGCAGGGTTCTGGGCAGGGGCTCAGAGCTTCACCCGCCATTCGTTGTGCACCTCCACCAGCCACAAAACCAGTTCTTGCAGCTCTAACAGCTTCACCTGGAAGCAGAGATGCTCAGAAGCCCGCCCTGCCCCCAGCTGCACCACCACGGAGCCAGAGCTCTGAACTACCTTCATCTCCTCTTTGTTCTGGGCCAGCTGGCTTATGGACTCCTCCTTCTCTCGGTGCTCCTTCCTCATCACTGCTTTCTGGGTCTGGTAGAGAGTGATGTATTGTCCTAGGGGGAGGGTGCGTAAACAGCTCAGCTGCTGGGGTCTCCCCAGCCTCTGCATAACACCCCAGCTGCGGGGCACAGGCCTCCCCACTCACTGATGGTGTCAGTCTCTCCAGACATCTGGATACATCGATGCTCCAGCTCCTCCATCCAGTCCTGTAAGTCCACTTTCTCCTGAATGAGCTTGGTAAAGTGACCCTGCAGCCAGACAGTGGGCTCAGGGGCTCAGCAGTGCCGGCCTGCCCAGCATCCAGCCCGCCCAGCCCTCCGGAGAACCACACTGTAGGGTAAGAAAAAACTATCAGGCTTTTCTGCCCTCCCGCCATTTGCATAGAAGACGGAACCCTGCGGTCTGAATGCATGCCTGATGCGGGCACCTGGAGTAGGGTGTGGGCATATGTAGATGGGATTCACCTGGGCTAAGATGGGCTTTTAAGGGTGGCGTCACGGGGACGCCAGCAGCAGCAGAGAAGCGGAAGCAGAACCAAGACAGCAGAGCAGCAGAGACCAACAGAGAACACGGGAGAGCCCAGAAAGAGTGAAGACTTGCTGGGGGCTGGGAGGCCTGTCAGCCTCCCGCCCCCCAGCACCCTTACTTGCCATGTACCTGGTAAATCCCAATAAAAGCCTGCAAAAGCCACTGAGGCTTCCAGGACTCTCTTCTCCTGGACCCGGTCTGCTGGATCAGAAAACCTGCCCCGTGTCCATTCCTTCCTGCCTTACAATTGGCGTAAGTCGGCAAGGTGCTCCATGCAGACGGTATGGAGCCCTCCGAAGACCGGGAGGGACTGAGGAGCAGCAGACAGTGTTTTCCTGTGACAGCGCTGGACGTGTCATGGCGGCACAGGGGATGGAAAAGGTCCGGAAGCTGCGGGATGAGACCTCGCCTGGAGGAGGAGATGCCCGAGAGGACCAGCCAACAATCCCCGCCTAGGCAGCAAGAATCATCGGGGGAGAAAGGACCACGATTCAGAGCTCCCCAGTGTGGACAAAGGGAAAAGCCGATGAACTTGAACTAATGGACTAACAATCCCGCCAGAAGGCGGAGGACCTTGGCAAGTTTGATATGTTTTGGGGGCCCTGGGGGAGGATGGGATTGTACACCCCCGGGAGATGGGAATCTGGGGGTGGCCAGTGGGCCTTGGTGGCCAAAAGCAGCCAGTGTATTGCCCAGCATCCAGGCAGAGGAGAAAAAGCCAACTGAGAAGGCAAAAAGCTGGTGCTAAGTTCGGGAAGCCCTGAGTGGCTGTTAAGCACTGTGTAAGCTAAAGAAGGCCAGTGAGTCTCTTAAAATCACCTGTGGGTGTTGCCCTGTTCATTGCTGAGTGAGGGTGAGGAGCTGAGGAACCCGTCCTTGGGGGACGGGCAGGGAACGTGGCTTGTGGTGGAGCCCACAGCCAAAGAGGGGACCCAAGAGAGGCCGCATGTGGTGCTTGCATCCACGGATCCCTGACCCATGTGCTTGTGCAGTGGGCTGGCCTGAGTGCAGGGGCCTGCGTGTCGCATTGGTGGCTATGAAAGCCGAGTGTTGGAGTGACCGCAGACAGAAACCCTGAGGGTTGGGCGATTACCCCCAAAGAGTACAGAATTGCCAACCCAAGAGTGAGTGCATCCTGGGGGTGGATGTGGTGTGTGGCTTGTGGCCGAGACCCCAGCTGGAGGGGGCCGGGAGGCCTGAGGGCTCCTGGCCTGTAACGGCAGATGCCTGAGTGGTTCCCTCTCTCGCATGAGCAGTGCCTTCGGCAGCTGAAGTGGTGGATCACGTACTGGTGCCAATAGTCTTTTGCCACTAGGTTGGTCCCCTGCCTGGGCTTATTTGTGTTCTGTTATATTTCATTTTGATATATTTCATTTGTTTTTGTGGGCCATGGCTGCAGTGTTCATATTCGCCAAGAGAAACGTGTGTATAACTCGTATAGACTGTCTGGCAGGTAAATGTATCAGGCTTTTCTGCCCTCCCTACATTAGGATGGATGACGGAACCCTGTGGTCCCAAATGCATGCCTGATGTGGGTATAGGTAGATTGGATTCACCTGGGCTAAGACTGGGCTTTTATTTATTTATTTATTTAAAATGAACTTTGTGAAGTCAGTCTCTCTCTCTCTCTTTTTTTTTTAAAGATTTACCTATTTATTTATTCATATAAACACTGGGTACAGTCAGAAGCGCGGGAGGGTGAGAGAATTCACCAGAGCCAGAGCAGGGAGCAGAGTAGGCAGAAGGACCAAAGCACACTGCTGAGGGGAGCAGCGGGCGGCAGGAGAGGTCTGTGCGCCATGCAGGACCCTCCTCTGGTGGCCGGGGAGCAGCCGGGGATCGAACCAGCCCTGCGGAGGCTGCAGGCAGATTCGGAACCCAGTGCTCAACCGCTGCGCCACTGGCGAGGCCCAAGACTGGGCTTTTAAGGGCGGCGTCACGGGGACGCCAGCAGCAGCAGAGAAGCAGAAGCAGAACCAAGACAGCAGAGCAGCAGAGACCAACAGAGAACACCGGAGAGCCCAGAAAGAGTGAAGACTTGCTGGGGGCTGGGAGGCCTGTCTGCCTCCTGACCCACCCAGCACCCCTGCCTGCCATGTATCCGGTAAATCCCAATAAAAGCCTGCAAAAGTCACTGAGGCTTCCAGGACTCACTTCTCCTGTACCTGGTCTGCTGGATCAGAAAACCTGCCCTGTGGCCATTCCTTCCTGCCTTACACACACTCACCTGCAGTTTCTCCATGGCTCCCTGAAGGGCCTGGTGGGTCTCCCCAGGCACACTCTCCCCCCAGGTGGCGGGGGCTGGGGCCTCCATCTTCTCGGGATCCTGGTCCCATGGAGCTGTCTGCTGAGCCAGGAACTGGCAGAGCATCTTTTGCTCCTTGAGCTGCCCGCGTAGCCGCGCCGCTCTTCCTCAGCACTGGCCAAGGCCGCGTTACAAAATGTCATCTGTGGGCCAGAGGAACAGGGTGTCCCTGAGGGTCGGCAGGGGGCTGGGAGGCACACCTCTCAGGGCCTCTGTGGGCACACCTGAGATTCGAGGATGGTGTTGGTGTCTGCCCACTGGTCCCCAGCAGAGGTGGGGGGAAGTTTAATCAAAGGGAGGGAAACCAAAGAGAAGGGTGGGAGGGGGATGGTGGGGCAGGGAAGGGGCTCTGGGGCCGAGCTCACCATGGCCTCGCGGCTGTCTAGGTCATCAGGGATGCTTAGCTTTGGCAGGGGACCCTTGTTCTCCTCTTCCTCCTCCTCCTCACTGCTCAGTCCATTTATTGTTGGGGGGCAGACAGAGGGCCTCAAAGAACACCTGGGTTCTGAAGCATCCCTGAAAGCCAGCAAGCTCTGCCCCCTCCTCTCTGTGCAACCCTGTGCCAGCAAGTCCCCAAAGGAGAAGGATCCAAGTTGTCCTAAGGGTGGCTTCCACTCTTGCAAACCCCTCCTCTGCTGAAGTCCCACTCACTTCCTCCAGTCTAAGCCATGAGGTTCAGTGGGGCTGGCAGGAAAGAGTGAGAAGGGATGCTGCTCGCAGGTCTTCCTGCTCGGGCGGCCACAGGGTGTCTGGCACTCCAACTGCCCCACTTGTGTTTCCAGCAGCTCTTGGTGGGCCAACTCGACCTCCATCTTGCCCTGCTCTTCTTCGTGCTGCATCCAGTTGCCAAGCTGGGTGTTAAGCAGCACCGGCTTCTGCAGGACGTCCTTCTCGTTGGCCAGCTGCTGGTAGGCGGCCACGAGCTGCTGGTAGGCGGCCATGTACTGCTGAAGGTGACTAAGGTAGTGGTTCCGCTGCTGCTGCAGCTCCTGAGCCTCTTGATATTTCTCCTCCACCTGCAGGGAGGACGCGGGGTGGGTTGAGGGCAGGTGGCAGTTGGCCTCCAAATTGTCACTGGAACCCAGCTGCCTCTGCTAGACACTACCTCAGGGAGACCAGTAGTGACCATCACTACTGACCAGTGCTGCTCAGCACTCCTGGTGACAGGGGATTGGAACCCTACTTGTACTTTTGGTGGACAGTACCTGGCTGAGGTAGACACCACTTGTGGCTACAGTAAGCTCTGTTTCCCATTTGTAAAATAAACCCCAAGGTGGTTGTTTACAGAGGCTGAAGTCTCTTGCAATTGCGCACATGGTTGAGAACCACAGTGATGAGTCCCCTACCGGGCACTATCCTTCCATAGGCTCTAACCTGTAGGCCCCTATCGTATGGGGTCTGTATTGCTCCAGCCTTTGGTTTTGGCTTTGGGGCATTTTGGCAGCTCTCTTGTCTTAGAGCCTGGGCAGGTGGGTGCCACTGCGGCCTATCCTGGCATCCCATTCATGCCCTGTGACTACCCTTTTCAGTTGGGATCCCAGCTGATGTCAGAGACACAAAGTGTTAAAACGTTCTTTGTGAGTTGCTGGACAACACCAACAACAAACAGCTCTTTCAGACATGAGGCCCGGAGCCTTTGGTGCTCCTTTCCGGTGATGTCAGGCACAGGACTGGAGGCCCAGTCTCTGACAGAGGTCTTCATCCTCTCTTCCTCCCACAGAGGTTGGCTACTGGATGCTGCTTGTCTTCTTTCAGCTTCTGGCCCTCCTTTCTTCAGAGGCCAGGAACAGAGTCTTCCCCTTCTTTCTTTGGAGGTTGGAACAGAGCCCTAAGCTCCCTCTAACCCTGGCTTATATCACTCTTCAGGGTGTCCCAACATCAAGTCTGATTGGACCATTTTTCTTTTTTTGTGCAGAATAACTGGGGTATTGGCCAGAGGTGTAGAGTGAGCAGAACAGACAGACTGACTGAAACACACTGGGGAGGGGAGCAGCCGGCAAGGCAGGAGAGGTCTGCTGTGCCCTGTGGGGCAGATCCCAGCCAGGGATCAAACTCAGGCAGTAGTGATGATGGGTGCCGAGATTTAACCCCTAGGCCACCAGGGAGGCCCTGGACCATTTTCATCCTTGGCTGACTGGACCACTTAGCACCAATCAGCTCATAGCTTCCACCTGATTGGTCCTGCCATAACCCAGGAAGCATGCAGAAAAGGGCAGTTCTGAGCAGCAACTGTCTCAACGGACTTGTGGTGGAGCAACAGAGTGGAGACCACTGAGGCAACTCCCAGATCTGCACCCACAAATGGGGGGGGGGCAGGCACTGTGGGACTTTGCCACCTGCCCGGGCCCCTTCCTTCAACTGCAGCAGAACTGCTTTCCAGTGCTCTCTGAAGTGAAGGATGCTGAGGCTCAGCCCCGTTCAGTGAAGCGCAACCCTGGAGCCAAGTCTGGAACCAGGATGTCTCCACGTCTCCTCGTCTCTCCCCTAGTGGCTCAACCTCCAGCAGGGCAGGTGACCTGCAGTCCCGGGGAACCCACCACTCCATGTCAGACCCTGGGCACAGGTGGTCACGGACCTGGCAGGACTGCAGGGTCACCAGTGCCCCCCAGCCCTGAGTTGGAGCTACTTATGTCCTGGCCTAAGGACCTCCCTCCCAGAGGCCTCCGAGCCCTTCCCAGCTGGCACAGGACTTACCAGCTCCTTTAGCTCTGTCAGCTTCTCCCGCAGCTGGCCGAGTTTCGTGGCCAGCTCGCTCTTGGTGTGCTGCTCCATTTGGAGCGAGCCGGTCACCTCCATGTTCTGATGGGACTGGACAGACGAAACAATGAGATGCCACCCAATGCAGTTGGAGACCCAGAGCTCGGTGTCCCCTTCCACATCGGGACGAGGTCATCTTCCAGCCCAGGGCACCCCAGGCACCTTACCTTCTTGCCAAGCGCTCTCTGGGCTCCGGATCCTGATCATCTCCTGCACCCACCCTCTGCCCGGGACTCCCATGTCCCCCACTCTCCACGGGGATGAACACTGCCCACCTCTACAAATCAGTCTCAAAGGCCACCCCTCCAGGCTCCAGACCTTTCAGAGCCAACTGCTCCCTCAGTTGCCACATCCCACCTTGCCACCTAGCAAAGTGTCTGCTGCCAAGGGCCCATGGGAGATGGGTAAGTGTCCAGTTGATCTGCTTCCCCCCATCCCTTCAGTTTGAGTCTCCACAGAATTTCCTTCCCCAAGGCACCTGTGCACCATCACCACAGTCCCCTGTGCTCCTCCCTCCTTCCCTCTGATGCCTCTTCCTTCTCCTCTCCTGCAGTATGTCTCTGATTTATAATTGTTTGTTTTTGTTTTGTTGTCTTTTGTATTGCTATTATTTTTTTACACTGATGTCTTATTAGGCTCCCCTATATTCCTGTTATAAGTAAAACCATCCTATATTTTCCTTTTTCCTTCTGTCTTATTTCACTGAGCGTAATTCCTTCTAGCTCCATCCACATTGCTGCAAATGGCATGAGTTTATCTTTTTTGATTGCTGAATAATATTCCATTTAATGTATATACCACATCTTCTTGATCCAGTCATCTGTTTTTGGGCATTTGGGTTGTTTCTGGTTTTACCCATTGTAAATAGTGCTGCAATAAACATAGGTGTACAGGTGTTCTTTTGAATCAATGTTTTTGTTTCCTTTGGGTAGATTCCCTGGTAGTGGAATTTCCGGGTTGTATGGTAGCTCCATTTTTAGTAGACTGAGGAAACTCCAGACAGCTTTCCATAGTGGTTGGACCAGTTTGCACTCCCACCAGCAGGGTAGTTCCCTTTTTACCACATCCTCGCCAACAGATGTTGTTGGTTGTTTTTTTGATATGTGCCATTCTAACTGGTGTAAGGTGGTATGTCAGTGTGGATTTGATTTGCATTTCCTTGATTATAAGGGATGTTGAATGTTTTTTCATGTGCCTGTTGGCCATTTGCATTTCCTCTTTGCAGAAATGTCTTTTAAGTTCTTCTGTCTGTTTCTTGACCGGATTGTTAATTTTTTTTTTTGTTTTTGTTGAGCCGTGTGAGTTCTTTGTATAAATTTGTGATCAGTCCCTTATCAGTTGAATGGAGTGCAAAGATGTTTTCCCAATCACTGGGGTGTCTCCCTATTTTGGTTAATGTCTCTTTGGCTGTACAGAAGCTTTTCAGTTTGATGTAATCCCAGGTGTTTATCTTTGTTTTCACTATCACTGCTTTGAGTGATGAGTCTTCAAAGATATTTCTGAGATGTATTTCTTGCAGTGTTTTACCTATATTTTCTTCTATATATTTTATGATTTCAGATCTTATGTCCAGTTCTTTTATCTATTTTGAGTTGATTTTTGTGCAGAGTGAGAGGTAGTGGTCTAGTTTCATTTTTTTTACATGTGGAGGTCCAGTTTTCCCAGCACCATTTATTGAACAAACTGTCCGTGTTCCATTGCATATTCTTTGCTCCTTTGTCAAAGATTAGTTGTTCGTGAAAGTGTGGCTTTATTTCTGGGCTCTCTATTCAGTTCCATTGGTCTGTGTGTCTGTTTTTGTTCCAATACCAATTTTTTTTTAATTATTATGGCTTTGTAGTATAGGTTGAAGTTTGGAAGTGTGATGCCTCCTTTCTCCTTTGTTTTCATCAGTAGGGCTTTGGCTATTCGAGGTTTTTTGTGGTTCCATATAAATTTCATCAGTATTTGTTCTATTTCTTTGAAGAATGTCATTGAGATTTTTGTTGGAATAGCATGGAATCTTTATATTGCTTTTGGGAGGATGGCCATTTTAATAATGTTAATTCTTCCAATCCCTGAGCAGAGACTGTCTTTCCATTTCTTTGTATCTTCTTCAATTTCTTTTAACAGTGTTTTATAATTTTCTTTGTATAGGTCTTTCACCTCTTTTGTTAGGTTTATCCCCAAATATTTGATTTTTTTTCTTTCAATTATAAAAGGGATGGTGTTCTTGATTTCTTCTTCAGATTGATTGTGTATAGGAAGGACACTGATGTTTCTGTGTTGATTTTGTATCCTGCTACTTTACTGAACTGGTTGATTATTTTAAGCAGTTTTTCTGTGGAGTTTTTAGGGTTCTCTCTGTATACTATCATATTGTCTGCAAATAGTGATAGTTTTACTTCTTCTTTCCCTATTTGGATTTCCTTGTATCTCTTTCTCTTGTCTTATTGCCCTGGCTAGGACCTCCAGTATTATATTGAAGAGCAGTGGTGAGAGAGGACATCCTTGTCTTGTTTCTGATCTTAAAGGAAAGGCCTTCAGCTTTTCTCCATTGAGAATAATATTGACAGTGGGTTTGTTGTATATGGCTTTTATCATGTTAAGGTATGTTCCTTCTTTCCCAAGAATTTCAAGGGCCTTCATCATAAATGGATGTTGGACTTTGTCAAATGCTTTCTCAGCATCTATTGATATGATCATACGGTTTTTATTTTTCTTTTTCTTGATGTGTTGGATTACACTTACCAATTTTCATATGTTGAACCATCCTTGTGTCCCTGGGATGAATCCCACTTGATTGTGGGGTATTATTTCTTTGATGCATTGTTGGATTCTGTTGGCAAGGATTTTCTTTTTTTGTGCTGTCTTTGTTTGGTTTTGGTATTATTGTAATGTTGGCTTTGTAGAACATGTTTGGTAGTATTCCTTCTTTTTCAATTTCTTGAAACAGTTTGTGTAAGATAGGTACTAATTCACTGCTTATTTTTTGGTGGAATTCATTTGTGAAACCGTCTGGGCCTGGGCTTTTGTTTTGGGGGAGTGCTTTGATCACTGCCTCAATTTCACTGCTTGTAATTGGTCTGTTTAGTTGTTCTATTTCTTCTTTGTCCAGCTTTGGATGATTATATCATTCAAGGAATTTGTCCATCTCTTCTAGGTTGTTGAATTTGTTTGCATATAAGTGTTCACTGTAATCTCTGATTATTCTTTTGATTTCTACTGAGTCTGTTGTGATTTCTCCTCTTTCATTTATAATCATATTTATATGTGTTTTGACCATTTTTATTTTGTGAGCCTGGCTAGAGGTTTGTCTATTTTATTTTTTCAAAGAACCAACTTTAGGTTTCATTGATCTTTTGGATAGTTTTTTTTTAATTTCCAATTTGTTTATTTCTGCTTTGATTTTTATTATTTCCTTTCTTCTACTGGCTTTAGGGTTTTTTTTGTTCTTTTTCTAGCTCTTTAAGATGTGAGATTAGGTTGTTTCTTTGAATTCTTTCTTGTTTCTTGATGTGAGCCTGGATTGCTATATATTTTCCTCTTATTACTGCTTTTGCTGCATCCCATACATTCTGAAAAGTGATGTCCTCCTTGTCTTTCCACTCAAAGTATTTTTTAATTTCTTCTTTGATCCCCTCATTTGTCCAGTGGTCTTCCAATAGTGTGGATTTCAATCTCCATGAAGTGGCAGTGTTCCTTGTTTTCTTTTCATGATTTATTTCTAGCTTGACGCCTTTATGATCAGAGAAGATAGTTGGAATGATTTTGATCTTCATGTATCTGTAGATGTTTGTCTTGTGGCCCAGTATGATCAATTCTGGAGAATGTTACATGCACACTTGAGAAAAATGTGTACTCAGATTTCTTTGGGTGCAGTGTCCTATAAGTGTCTGTCAAGTCCATGAGTTCTATGTCTTTATTTAGGGTTATAGTCTTTGTTTTTGTCTCATTGATCTGTCCATTGGTGAGAGTGAGGTGTTGAAGTATCCCACTATATATGTATTTTCTTTCATGTCTGTTTTCAGAACTGATAATAATTGTCTAATATATTTTGGTGCCCCTTCATTTGGTGAGTACATGTTGATGAGTGTTATATCTTCCTGATGTATTGTCCCCTTGATCATAATGTAGTGTCTGTCTATGTATCTTTTTAACCTTTTTTTTAATTTGAAGTCTATTTCAACTGATAAGTATGGCTGTTCCTGCCTTCTTTTTTGTTCCATTTGCTTGTAGGATTGTTTTCCAATCTTTTACTTTCAGTCTATGTTTATCTTTTGTGGTAAAATTTGTTTCCTGGAGACAGCAGAAGGTTGGATTTTTTTTTTTTTAATCCAGCCTGCTACTCTCTCTTTTTATTGATGAGTTTAATCCATTTACATTTAGAGTTAATATTGATATGTTGGCATCTGTATTTGCCATTTTGTTTGTCTTTTTTGTGATTTTATTCCTGGCTTTGTTTTGTTCTTCTTGTTCATTCCTCTGTTGGTTTTGGCTTTAGGACTTGTAGAATTTTTTTGGAGTGGGGGTTTAGTTGTAATGAATTTCTGGAGTTTCTGTTTGTCTGAGAAGGCCCACATTTTTTCTTTGTAGAGGAAGGAGAGCTTTGCTGGGTAAAGTATTCTTGGTTGGCATTTGCTGTGTTGAAGTTTGCTGAATATGTTACTCTATTCTCTTCTTGTCCGTAATGTTTCTTTGGGGAAGTCTGAAGTTAACCTGATGGGTTTTCCCTTTAAAGTTATCTTTTTCTTCCCCTTGCCTGTTTTATTATTTTTTCCTTGTCTTGGACTCTTGCAAGCTTTACTATTTGGTGTCTTGCTGTTGTTTTCTTTTCATTGTGGTAATTGGGAGTTCTTCTCGCTTCTTGTATGTCTATGTTCATCTCCTTTTTCATACTTGGGAAGTTTTCTTCAATTGTCTCCTTGAATAATTTCTCTGTTCCTTTGTCTCCTCACCTTCTAGAATGCCTATAACTCTTATGTTTCCTCTCTTCATGGAGTCTGATAATTGTGTAAGAGTATCTTCATACTTCTTTATTTGCTCTTCTATCTCTTTTCTTTTGACTCTTT